ATTTAAGGGATTCACTCTCGTATTTAATGCGTTTGTCACAACTGAAACTTTACAGTGTGTACTTGGCCTTACTTGGTTAGCTAAAATTATTTAGTGTTTGTTAGTGCTTTAAAATTCCTTGGTATGCATAATCACAGTTGTGGGTAAGTTTGCCAGTTGTGCTGAATTAGTTGGGAACATCCTGCATTTTGGTAGTAATTCCTGGACGGTTTACGGGATGTTTACTGATGAGGTTGAAAGTGAGATTACACTAATGTGTTAATATTGCATTAACTTCAACAGCAATAAATTCTACACACAAGATACTTTTTACACGAAGTATTTGTTGCAGTCTGATGACATGTTTTTCTGTCCCATTTTGATTGACAAGATTGATCTGCCCTGATCATTGGCTGTTTTTAAACAATCGGCCAATGTGAAGTGCAAATAATTGCTTTTATTGGTCAATACCGATTTTTTTCTACTCGCCTACTACTTTCCTCATTCATTCTTGTTAATATTAACATCCCTCCAGCAGCATGTTACCTATCTCACCAGAGACAGTAATATACTGGACCACTGTTACGCCACAATAAAGAATGCCTATCACTCTGTCCCATGTGCAGCTGTACGGCTCTCTGATCACTGTCATCTTATACCTAAAATAACTTCCTTGTTTACAACCCTGTTTCAGTCTTTCAATACAAAAGTCTTTATTGCTGACTCGCTCATAAAAAGAGTCCCTTGTCGGCATCTAATGGCGGAACAATGTAACTAATTACCACGACAAACACACACACTTTTTTCCCAATACTAAATACTATGATTAAATACTACTATTATTTATATAAAATGATTTATTGAATAATATCATTTCATAACAACAACAGCCATCATAAAAGTTGCAAGACAATTCAGTCAAAAGTACAAAGACAGCACTCTGATACAGCACTTAATTTATATAAAATACAAACGTTATGAGATTTTGCCCTCAGCCAAAACTACTTGCTCTGCAACAAATAATAGATTCATGAGATCAAAGACTGCCTGTTAGATTTACCCTAGGGTTGGACCGATAGCCGACGGCTGACAGACATCATGATGTTGAGCCGGCATCGTGACTCGTGACTCGGGACTATAATGTCATGGGCATCCGCCATGACACTGTCTGTGAGAAATGCTGCAAGTGGAGCGATACAAATGGTTGGAGATCTGTTATCACCAGAAAATTGTACTCCTGGAAAAGGCTCTGAGCCAATCAGATTCGAGGACCAGAGAGGAAAAAAAAAATATATATATATATATATAGTGCTCAAATGTACAGTGGGTACGGAAAGTATTCAGACCCCCTTAAAT